GCCAACAGACTTGGTCAAGGATAAACCATGGGACAGGTTTTCAAATGTCCATTTCAATGCTACTCTTGCTTTCTGTCAAACAATCACATAAAGAAGAACTTGGATGGTTACTGGGAACTTGCCCAAATAAAAAAATAAGCAAGACAGCAAGCCCACCACATGAGCAGAGCCACACAATTTTAATGCAAGCATGTGATTCTGAGTATGGGGTCTTGACTGATTTTTATGTCAGCAGCTAAATCTTTAAGATGAGATAAGGCATCATGAGAATGCAGCAGCTCTGTAATTCCAGTTCTGTAATTCCTTGCACTCGGTTCTCACCCAGCAAGACTCCAGCAATGTCAACTGTGCAGAGCTTTAATGTTCTCTGGCCAATGTCCATCCTGGGGGCAAATGCAACTCAATAATTTGTCTATCTGAAAGGGTCAGTGCCTTTCTCCTCCATTTGATTTAAAAACAAAAACCTTTGACTTTCAGCTAGCATATAATATCTCCATTAAAATATTCAATTTCCTCTCTAAACTCTGAAGGATTAGTTACAAAATGATGCTCAAGTATGGGACTGTATTATTATTTGATATGTTCTGTGAATAAGAAGCAAGAAATTAAGACTTACTAAAATAAAGGAAAGCAGTATTTTGTTACATTTTTTTCCCTCAAAGTTCCAAGTAGATTTTTCAAAGCCAGTTTCTTCCTTTGATGAGATAGAGAACTATTTCACCTGCCACTGTATTGTTTCCCAGCATTTTATGTAGATAGTGTTGTGTTAGTTCATGAAAATTGGTCTTCAAATATCCCTTTTGAAATCCAACTTTCCAGCTTCAAATATAAGAAAAAATTAATGTGAATACAATTCATATTCTACAGTAAAAATTTATCATATCATAAAATCATAACATTGTGCCAAAATAAAATCAGAAGTTTCTGAAAACAAAATATTTCAAAGCAAGGCAAGAGGGTGGTTGTGTGTCTTCAGAGATTCAAGGAAACCTCTGTGCTTTTCAAATAGCATTTTATGCCCATAAGGAGGCGTGGAGGTGAGCAGGCAGAGCTGCAGATGGCAGGATGTTAGCCAGCTTTCCATCACTGTGACCAAAACACCAGACAAGAACAACTCAGGGGAGGAAAAGTCTATTTTGGGGTCATGCTTTCAGAGTTCCAGTCCATGGTTGGCTGACTCCATTGATCTGGGCCAGAGGTGAGGGAGGAATTCATGGTGGAAAGGGGGGGCGGAGGACAGCAGTTGGCTATGGCAGCTCAGAAGAGGGGAGAGGGGTTGGAGGGAGGAAGGGAGGGAGAGACTGGGGGGGAGAGGGAGAGAGAGAGAGAGAGAGAGAGAGAGAGAGAGAGAGAGAGAGAGAGAATTTTAATATTTATTTTTTTCAGTGGACACCACAACTTTGTTTGTATGTGTTGCTGAGGATCAAACCCAGGCTGCATGCCTGCCAGGAAACTGAGCTACCACTTGAGCCACATCCCCAGCCCCTCGTCTTTTGATTTTCCTACAATATTTTGTTAATTGAAATGTAGGGAGATCACTGAAGAACAGGAAGG